CATCCCACTGAATGTGAATTTTTGGATTCTGACAAAGTAGTCTGGGGACTAAATGCAGGAAAATCACCAGTCAATGCTGAAATGACCACAACTACTTGCATAGAGACACTGTCCGTTAGATGGAATTAAAATCAGATAAGCATAATTTTAATGGCTACGGATATTATGGCTAATTATCTTGTGCTGTGTTCATAAATATTCAGCTGCATAGTATTAGCCTATAGCCCACATTAAACGTTACAATGCCTGGGAGGAATCAGGCAGAAGGAAGTAGTGGGGAGGGATGTTTAAGTGGTACTTAAAATTGTCAAATGTCAGAAATGTTCCCTGTCCATCCCCAGACCCCTGTAATTTCAAATATACCATGTTCACACAACATTTACTACCACAAGACCACACTACAGTTTAAAAAAGAGAAACTGAGCAGCAATGTGTTATTTTCATATTAATAACTACACAAAACTACAGTTTAATGCAACGAAGGATTTTGTACAAGCAGCTACCTTGAATCTGCTCTGATAATTAAAGGTGAAGGAGTTTGAACATTAAGACTACACCTTTCAATATCAACATCAGGTTTCACAACATAAGGCATTTGCACAGCACTTAAAGGAACACATGAATAAGCTCAATTGTGTAAAAATTCCCTAATAAAAACCTCACCAAAAATAAACTACTTAAGAGCATAAACTACTTAGAGATTTGGGAGTGGAAGAACATGAGTCAGTAGAAGGGTTTCTAAAATGAGCAAGTGGTTTTTAAAACATGAATACAGAAAAGTTGCTCCAATGAGTAATAAATACTAAAATCCTACTCAGGTACAAATAGCTTTGTATTTTGGGAATTGCTAAAAGAAACTGAAGAGGGAACTGCCTTGCTTCTGAGTTATAAATAGGAAAATACAAATCTCTAGATAAGTTTATATGGAAATATGAAAGAAATGACATTTAATAAGCCTACAGAGTAAAGATCTTAAAAAGAGCATGGAGTTCAAATTACTTTCGTGAATTATAAAAAAAACCCAAACAATTTTGGAAAAGCAAAGACATAAAATATTCTCTCACTCAAGGCACAAAAAATCCTCTATAAAATGAATGAAAGCTTGAAATCAAAATTAAAAGACTGAAGAAACATATCTTTATCCAGGTGATGAAAGAGAAGGAAGGAACTCTGAAGAACTGTCTTTATAAAAACATTAACAAGAGAGCAATTGTGAAAACTAAACACACACTAAATAAAAGAAATCAGTGTTTACCTTCACCCCCTCAAACCAAAACAGAGATACCCAGGGAAGATATAGGTAAGGCATTCTACTGAAGGATTATTTTGTCATCAGTCTACAATTAAACACACACCACCCCAAGATCCAGATAAGCAACAGTGAAATAAATGTTATCTGAGAACTCTCTCACAAACCCATTCTCAAGAATATAACAGGGTCACCGGTAATACTCAGAAATAATAACAGGTGCAGCTGCTCACATACAACCCTGGGATCCAAGGCTTTGTCTGCATAGCTCCTTCCTTATCTTCTTTCTGCCCATTTCAAGGTATGTTCTCAATCAACAAGTTTAACAGAATGACACTTCTCCTTCCTCACACTAACATATTTAACAGAAATTAATACATTCTCATAATTCTTAAGTAGTAAATAATAATAATAGTGAGCATAAGACTTTTACCTTCAGGCTTTGCACATGCTAGTGGAAATGCTGGTTCCAAATCCCTGGCTCTAGGAGTGGTTAAAAATCAGCAGATATGCACCAAAAACACTTCATTCACACCCAAACCCGGCCCAGGCTGCTCCTGGGAAGACCCACTCAGCACACCAGGAAAGAGCTCTGCTATTGCTGCTGGTTGTCCACTCCATCTGTGCCCTTCCTCCCCAAACCCACTCTGCAGTGGGATGCAGAAGCCCGCCATGCACTTTGGGGAGGCTCTGCATCCAGCCAAGGCTGTGGGCAGAGCCAAAGGACACAGCTCTCCTGGGGTTCAGCATCCTTTCATCGCCTAAGAGAATGAGTGAGTCCATCCAGGAGGGATTTCCATAGCCAAGAACCGATGAAACAGTGTCTGAACATGCTTCCTAGACTGTGAGACCAACTGGAAAATATTTATCCAGATCTTGTTTTTTCTTTTCTTTTTAAATCCCACTTCCCTCTTCAAGCTGCCATAAAAACAACTGGTCTTCTCGTGAGTTATTTCCTGAAGGGAACCATTCTGGCACAGAGATGAAGCAAAACACAAGAGGCCAGGCAAGCATTAGAAGGAAGACAAACTTTAAAAAAATTTGATTATCTCCAAATATTTCAGAGGAAAGTGGAGAGGGCTTTTAATTGAGTGAAGCTGTGGAAGTAGAGGACTTGGCTCCATGGACAGAAGTGAGATGGAACGTGCTCCCTTGGCTTCTCCTGGTTCAAGTCCAAAGTGTGCCTCTCTCACTGTGTATTTCACAACACAGAAAAGGTCTCTTGGGTTTCAGTCATTTTGAGAAGAATTTCTGTCCAAACAGACATTTCCTGGGAGACTTTTGATCAAGCTTTTCCACGTAAAGCTGTTTGCATACTTTGGAGAAACCCCATGTCTCACACCATCCTGTTGTTAGTTTGAGTGTCTGAGCACTTTTACCACAGATCTCAATTGCATGAGGATTACCAAGTTCTGCTTCTTGAGGAAGAAGCATGCATTTTCTTGGATTTTTCTTTGAACAGTAAACAGGACTACAGGCATGGAAAGACACCCTCTGCCCATCCAAGCAGAATGGACAATCCAGTAACACCCACTGAATTAAACTTGTGTGGTTTTTGGAAGAATACAAGATTTGATCCCTTCTGAACACCTAGACTGTGGTTGAGAACAGATGCATACTTCTCTCACCCCTTCTATCTTCAAGTCACCTCCCTCAGACCTCAGCTGTAAACCCCAGGAACTCACGAGTTTTACCACTGGTTTATCAGGTCTCAGCCCACAGTCTTGCACAGGGCAGGAGCCTCTGCCCAGCAGCTCCAGCTAATTATGCCACAGGAGCACTTCTTTAAGGGAAAAATAAAACCAGTGGAGAGCAATCAGTTGTCCTCTGACTGTAAATTCCACACAGCTGCACCTCTTACAGGATGAACTAATTCTGATAAACACAAGCTGTCTTCCACTTGAGGGATCAGAGACTGAATGTTTGTGATGGCAAAGGGTGAAGAGAAACCCCATGGAGGCATTTGTCCATCTCACCAAAAGCTCTGATTTCCTGTGAAGTAGCCCAAGCAGGACATGGCTGTTGCAAGTGTTTTTATGGGTGACTTCATCAAACTTATTTCCCCAAACACCTTCTCAGCTACAATTTCCTCCCTCGAGAGGATTTGACTTTTAATCTAGAGACCCACTGTTTTTCTCTCAGTTCCTGAATTGTGACTCCCTTTAAAAAACCAATTTTGGCAGGCTCAGACAGAGGTTCCCCCCCCACCAAAAAAAAGAGCCAAAAGGCTCCGTCAAAGTCCCATAACTGACATGAAGTATTTACCAAGTGGTGCCTTCTCACAAATAATCCCTTTCCTTTGTTTACTTTACACATTACTAAAAAGCAAGCATCCCAGTAACACAGAGACTGGCAATACTTGTGAATTATGAGAGAACCATTTGGTTTCCAAGAGCACCAGAAAAGAGCAAAGAAGGATGCTCAGCCCTTCATATATTGTGGTTTTGATCCAAAATGCTCATATCACATAGAGACCCAGAAGGTCTCAACAACAGTGAGAGCCTGCAGTACAAACCTTTGTTCCTCATCTGAATAAATACAGAGGAGAGAAAAAACCCAACCAACTCCTTAATGAGAAGACTTCAACAGACAAGAAAAAGGAGAAAAGCAGTTCTGTTACCTTCTTTTTCCCCCATGTATTCCACCCAATTTATTAAGCATCATCAAGCCAAATTTCTATTGAAAAAGGTCTTGGAGAAATGAATCAGTGACTGTAAATAAATAGGCTTGAACAGATACAGTCCTTCTTAGTTATTTCTTCTTTTTGGTCACTTGTTTTTGTTTTGAAACAACGTGACAGCTTCCAATAGCAAGCACAAGCCTGTCAGGGACACTGCACTGAGACTGAAAGATGAACACCCCTGCAGACATAGTATATTTTTCTTTCACTACTACTACTGAATTTTTTGGAATACTGATGACTTGTCCAGCAGCCTCAACTGTATCCAGATGTTATCAGGTTTTTAATATGATAATCTGGAGGACTCTGGAAAGTGCTGAGGTTTTAAGGAGAAGGAAAGTTTATTTTTTGTTTTATTACAAATTTAAACTTTATGGATTTTTTTCATGGCATTATCAGTTACCAGGTTCAAGATGGGTAGCCCACTAGAAAGTTTGAGAAAAGCCTGAGAAAAAAGGCAAGTTTCCCCTTTGTCCCACACCTTTTTTTCCCCACCCTGCCTTAAGAGTGTTGTTATCAGCAGGGTAGATTGAAATGAAATCTCAGACTGGCATCTTGCTGACCTCAATCCCAGCTGGCTAAACCCTTACAACACGGCTGTCCTTGGCATCTACCAGAGAGCAGACACCAATCCAGCTGCTTGATTACAAAATGGAGAATCTGGTATGAGGAACTAGATCCATTCCACTGTCTGGAACTCTGTTTAAAAGACAGCTTAATTTCTCTCTCTCCCTGGTACTTCATTGACAGAAGCAGGCTTGATATCTCAATCAGAGCAGCACAACACCACAGAGGACACTGTGCCTGCAGGACTGCATATACCACACACTTGAGAAGGAAATGCTACCGCTACCACCAGGTGATGCTTGTTTTAAAGCACACACTAAAATATTTCATACCACTTCCTTATCAGGAAAGGACCTTTTTTTCAGTTGCTTTTTAAAAATTAAGATAGAACATCAGAGCATTGCCATCATGTTAATAAAGACAAGTTACAAAGCAGTTTAAACAACCATCACACTCACCTGTTACACAAACAGAAGCAGAACAAAACAAAAGTGAGTTCATTACCTGGACTCAAAACAATTTGATTGTCCTCTGTCTTCCCTTCGGTTATGGATTCACTGACAGAGCCCCCTTTTCGACTCCTTATCTTTGAAAAGCCACTAGAGAGAGAGGAGAAGATGCCCCGGCCGGGGTAGCCGTGCTGCTGGGCGCCCAGCGCGGGCAGGGCTCGCAGGCACAGCCGGGCGCTCCTGCTCCCGGTGTGCGGCACGGGCTCGGACAGCGAGCGCTTGAAGGGAGCCCGCAACGGCAGAGGCCCTGTCGGGGAGAGAGTCTCAGGGGGGTCTTCGTGGAGATTGTCAGCACTGGTAGCACCCATGATTGCAGAATTTTTGGCAAGACTTGGGTCATTGCATTCCCCTTCCAAACTGGAGGAGGTCTCTCTTTTGCTTACCCTCCAGGGAGGCCAAGGATGTGTTTGCCATTTGTACGTTCCAAGAGGTTTCTCTGAGTCAAAACTCATCTGTTTATTCAACTTCTTCCTTTTAATTTGGTGGTACCAATGATAGTGCTGCAAGGCAGTTGTGCCAGCATCTTGTTCCAACAAAGATCTTCTGATGGACCCAGGAAAAAGACTATGATGCTTTTTGAAAGCACTCATTTTCCACCCTTTGGATTCTGGCGCTTCACTCACATTCCTTGTTGCTTAGTAGTCACGTAGCCGTAGTTCCTCACTCACCATTTTACATCCCCCGTTACTTTGTTCATGGCTGTGAACTGCAGAACAGCAGAGGTTCTTCCTGAAGACCTTGAGCACCAATCCCAGAACCAGGTATTCCTACAGAGCTACAAGATGCATATGCCCTCACCTGTAGCACACCAACTTCTAACAGCACACAAAGCCTTGCTGAGCTTGCTATTGCTTCCTGGGCTGTCACATTTCTGCACCAGGCTCTCAGGAAATGACTAAAAGAGCCCAGCAATGAAAACCCACAGTGCTGTTCTGTGCTGATCACACTTCACTTTTTTCAGTCTACATTAAAGATTTGGTTTAAAAAAAAAAGGCGAAAGAAAGCACTTTGCTCTAGAGATGCAGCAACGTCTCAGAAAAGCATTGGAAAATTGCAGTACTCAACTAAGAGTCATGCACGTGTTCTTCAGTTAAGTAGCAAAGTACATTACTATATAGTTAAGTATAAAGTCTCTATTTACCACAGGTATGTTGTATCACTTAGAGTACCTCAGAGCTGCCTTTTAGAGAAAGGTAATACAGGCATATTCATCAGAATTGAGTGCTGGAAGCACGAGACAGGAAAGCAAAGAAGAAGAATGGAGGAAGGAGAACAAACCCTGCAACTCAATGCAGTGAGAGTGTAAACACGCTGCAGGGAAATAAGTAAAGAGAAGGAGAGAAGGGACTGAGAGGATGGGTGGGACTTCACCAAACACAGACCAAAGGGAAGGGTTTGAGGCATGGCAAACAGAACAGGGCAGCAGTAAGGTACTCCTTTTTCTCCTCCCCCTTTCTTCCCTTTTAAAACAGCAGAATAGGGGACTATTTTTTATAAATCTAGTTGCAATAAATGAGATGGAAAAAATAGTCCTATCTGTTTAACCAAGAGGAAAAAACTCTCTTGCCCTCACTACAATTTTAGAAACAGCTGATGGCTCTAAAATCTCATAAAGAAAATATCCGCTGGTGAATGAAGAATACGCTTCCCACGTTTTAGACCAGAACACTTAAATCTCAAGTCTACTCAAATCCCTGAAAATAGGGGGTTTATAATGGAAATTCTGACACACCCTTGGCAATAAAGTAACAAAGAAAACTACCCCTCCGTTTAAATAAAATGATAATCTGCTCTGGCAGACCAATAAAGCTTAACTGACCGGCTATAGGATCCCGCCTTCAAGTTAGGCTGCATTCATCAGCCAAAGTACATTCCTGACAGCTGCTGATACAAAAACTTCCTTACTTATGTATATATATGGGAAAGGGTATCACTGCTCCCTAGAACGGAGAGAGAGTTACCCTAAAACCTCTTTCAAATCAAAATATCATTTCTCTACTCAGTAGCAAGTTAGACTTTTCAATTATAAATAACAGAAGCAACTATCTAAAAATGACCATGTTTAAGAAGTCACAACACATAACCCCAGAAACAGAAACAGCTTGGACATTGCAATGCAATTTCTGCATCAAATCACGATGCTGCCTCTTGTGCTTTGTCAACATCATGCTCAGAGCATAAGTCTGGAATGACAAAATGTACCTATACCACAACTCTGCTACAATTTCCATCCACAGCAATGAAGTTTAAAAGAAGCACAAGCAGTAAACACAGAGATACTGGTACTGTGAAAATAAGACACAGACTCCACCAGAAAAAAGTTAGCTGGCTTTTGTCTTCTGCTTCTTGATCCCAGGGGTTGCTAATCACCTTTGGCTTCAGCCCATCTGGCCCCATGGCCTCACAAAGGCTCTTTAAAGTAACTCCTGACTCAACCCTCATCTATTGCTGGTAGCTGTTCTCCTCCTTGATCCCTTTCACCAAGCAGAGAGGCCCAGGTGTCCATGTTTTCAAGACCAAGGCAAACAGAAGCACTGAAAACCTCAGTTTTAACAAGGTCTGCTGTTACTGGGTTCCCCAACCTTTCCAGCAACTGGTCCTCCTCCTTGTTGAGCCTTTTGCTGCTAATGCAGCAGCAGTGCTTTGGCCAAATGCTTTGAATTAGGCAGGCTGGTAAAGCAGGCTTTATGGAACTCCAGGAGTATGAATAAATCCAAGGGATGATGATGTGGTTCACTCCAGTGGCACAAGCCATAATCAGCAGGGAAAGCTGAGAATGTGAGGCAGGTTTCTGGTCAGCCCTGCAAGCCATGTTTGCACAAGTTTCCACTAACATATTGACATCTCCTTTTGGGCTGGGAGCACGTAAGGGTAGGAGAGGACAGCAAATGCAGATAGTTCAGGCGCTGAAGCTCTCCTGGGCTTGCTTGCCGTGGATTTCTAGTGTGCTTTGTAACTCCCACTGATCTCTGCCAGGCTGGGCATCCACACAGACCACACTCTTGAAACAGCCCTTGGAGAGCCCTTACCTGCCCTATCAGAGCACGTAGTACCCCTGAGGAATGACTCAGCTCGGATAGTACAACCTCAGCTGCACCAAGGCAGAGATTTAGCACAACAGGACTTTGGACAGGACAGAACTTTAGGCAAGACACCAGTCTCAGCATGAGGACAGAGATGATCACCAGGATTCTTCCCTCCTTTTTCATCACCATTCTGTTGACACCTGACCGTACGAAAGATCCCTCCATCCCCTTCCATATACAGCTGGCATTGCACTGATCAGTGACTCACACAGACCACCCATTTCAGGGAACACACAGAAAGAATAACCACATCTCAAGTTACAGCACAAAGCAATGTGCAAAACCAGTTACGGGTTAACTGCTACTCAAAACTATTTTTCTTGGTGTGGCCAGGGGTTGGACTACAGCTCTGTACAGACCTAACAATACAGAGAAAGGCTTCAATAAGCACTCTACATGAAGCCAAAGAACATCAAAGTCACAATTTAGTTTAAGTTTGAATAATATTGAGATGGCTTTTAACTTTTTTTAAAATTCTGATTTCACTTTTTATTTCATGTTACCACTGCTCAGAATAACACATTTTATGATCAAAGGAAACTACTCGTGGCCTTAGCTGAGGTTTCACAGTGTACTCTAGAGAGGGTAAAAGGGTCTTTCTCAAAGTGCTTCTAAAAAGGCAGACAAGGTTTACATGTTTATTAACATAAAAACACTGACAGACATGTTTGCTTAGTCTACCAGTAAGAAAATTATTTTAAATAGCTAACTCAAAAATTTTAGCCTGGGCTACGAGTCAAACTGATCTCTCCCTTCCTTACACACATCAACAGCAACAATGATGTTCCAAAAACTGCTCTGTCAACATGAATTTAATGCCACTGAGTTAAAACTGGTCTCAAGTGGCTCGAGCATTTGTTGTGTCCACAGAACATGCAGGCGAGTAATCCCGAAGGCACTTTCTCCTTGATCTGCAGTCCAGTTACTCAGGCTCCAGTCCAGGCCTTCCAGAGCAGCAGTTTATCCTGGGAAGCATTTCACAGTCTCAGTATCACAAAGAAATCCGCTTACAGCTGTGACTGCCACTGTATTAGTGATGTGGGATCTCCAGCCATACTAAGCCACCCACGCAGCTGTCAGCAGGTAAAATAATGTCAGGGGAATAAACGAGTTTGTCAATTAAGTTGAGAAAATCTGAAATATTTTCACCCTTGTTTTTAATATCAACTGCCTACAAACATGATCCTTCACCAGCAAATTTTCCTCCGTTTTCTTTTGTTTGAGCAGTGTTTGCAGTTCATTGTGCCAAATCATTCATTTAGCTTTTCAGAAAATTACTACTTTCTTCCTAACAATCCAGTCACTTAATCATCACATTTGACATGTTTAACAGCATTTTTTTTTTCACGACTCCTAGATATTTAAGTAATTTATGCACAAAATGCAGATTTGCTATGTTGGAATGTAACTGTATTTCAGCTTTAAGATTGTATTGGGAAAACAATCTTTCTTAACTTCATAACATTTCACAGAAAATATACACAAGCAGCCTTACATTTGCGCTGAGCATATGAAGATAAATATTTGCCAAGGGCCTCCTGTGTAGGAATTCTGCTCTACACCATTCAGCTCTCCAGAAAAACTACCCAGCTCTGCTGCATGGAGCTTCAGCAATTTCTCAGAGTATGTTGTTTAATAAATGGTACCGACCAATTTAAAAAGTAAAAAAGCAAAACCACAGAAAACCCCAAGTGCACCATTGCCAAACAGCTGGAAGAAGGAGAACCTGGCTCTGATGTTACAAATTAATATTTAATGATTGCTTGCTCTCTGGAAGCTGTCTAGTGCTTGAGTAAAGGCACTACAACGTGTAAAATTTGAGTTCATAGCTTATATTGTAAAAAAAAAAGGATGAACTGCAATCTCCCATGACCGAACTGCTCCATTCTAAATTAGTTTTGGACCAAACAAACTAAGCAGCTTCTCATTTTTTACCAAGACATGGAGGGAAAAAGGAGAAAGAAGAGAGTTAAAAGAGAATAAAAAGAAACAAAACCAAAATGCCACACAACCACCAACATCCATGATAAACCCTGAACATTTATTCACCACACTTGGTTTCAACCAAGTCCTCTTTTTTAATTGAGGAAATCATCAGGCTAAGCAAATACCATTTCTGAAAAGATCCCAGCTTAAGTCCCCAACAACCAGCCATCAAATGAGCTTTAACCTGTAGAAAAGTAAATCAAATTGAACCCTGTATCCTCCCTAGAGAAGCCAGAAGGAATACAGAGGGTCAGGGACCCTGGATTTAGCAGTCTAGCTCCCCTTACCTTTTTTGCCATTTAAAGCTAGGCCAACACTCAGTGCATTGGAACAGTTCGTGAAGGAGTCATCAATATACAAAGCAGAAATGAATACAAAAGTTTTCCAATTGACCCAACTTGACACATAGTTAAACAGTACAGAAGATGAAAGATTTTTTCCTTCCATTTAAATTAGAGACTTTTCAAAAAATTAAGTTTTGTTTGTGCAAGGCTAAGTAATTAATGACCTAACATCCCCTTCCCATCTCCTATCACCAAGAAGCATCTGTTTCCCCCCACAACATTTCCTGCAGGTGGATATGACTTTTCCTCAGCTCAGCACAGACCAGTGCACCTGACTTACCCGACCTCTTAATATTCAAAGTTAATTCATGTTTAGAAGTTACACAGAGGATGAATTAAACAGCACCTTAGAAATCATTGCATTTAGGATTAGAGTGACTGGAAGAGTGAGGCTTGGAATTGGCATGCCTGGAAGACAAGAGATCCCTCACTAAGCCCACACTAGAGCTCCTGAGAGCAAAGCTGCCATGCGTGCCTCTCACAAGCCTGGAGCTGGCCAAGCCTTCCAGGGGCTACACTGCAAGCTTACTTATCCCACATAAATCAAGATATGCTGTTTCCACTATCACTATGCTGAGACTGAAGTGCCTCTCGAAAGCCAAATAGTGATAGCAGACTATTTAAATGCCACAGAGCACCTCATTTTCCTCACCTAAATTTCGGTGCCAAGGCAGGCTGGAACTGCTGTCCCTGCCCCACAATTCCAAGCCCAACCTGCCACTACAGCTACAGCAAGCCAGCCTGACTCAGCTCTGTTTTTGCTATGGTCTAGTTTCTGAAGACAAGTACTGAAAACTCTTCAAGATGCACAGGAATTTCCACCTGAATATGAGGAATAACTTCACTGGGCAATGACCACACATGGGAAGAAATTGTCCAGAGAGGTTGTGGAGTCTCCCTCATTGGAGATATCCCAGATCTGTCTGGATGCAATCTCTGCTCTGTGCTCTGGGATGATCCTGCTTGAGCAGGAAGCTGGGATCAGACGACCCACTGTGCTCCCTTTCCAACCTGACTCATCCAGTGATTCTGTGATTTCTGCCTTCTGATTCCCTGGCAAAACTGCTACAATTTCTTTGCTGACACAAACTACCTCTCTGAAACTCTCCTGGTTTCATTTTTCCATGCTGTTCCCCTGATCTGCATGAGAAGCTGCTACAGCCCTGTCAACTGAGCAGAGCAGAGAGAGATAATATAAATTTATGAGATGCTGGGCTTTGGATGGGTGCCAGGAAACGTTAGCAAGAAAATCCCATTTCAATACATCGCGAATAAACCTCTAGAACGGTGATGCCAGGTTTTAATTTCACTAGCAATCTTTTGTTGTTGTTGACGACCAAACACAGCCTCGTGCCAAGTTTCGAGGGCCATAAAAATGTACATTTAAGAGGCAGCCAGACACACACAGCGGCTGAGCCCACACGCAGCTGCGAGCCACCCCAGGCAGACAGGGATTTTAGCAGCGTGCACTGGTGCAAATAAATAAATGCATGACCTGGAGGTAAGCATGCTGGCAACTGCTCTGCAGCACGGAAAGGTGTAAGAGCAGAATGACCTGTGTTGAGCGAGTGGAGGCACTCACAGCAGATATCTGGAGACTGTGGGGAAGTGACACAGCTGCTCCTACAGCTCTGGCTCCTCTGTGGCCTTAACACTGAGCTGTGAAGCCACTGACACACAGGGAGCTGAGGTTGGAGCCACACATCACCAGCCTGAGCCCTGGAGAAAGATAGCTGGACTGACCCACCTCACTGCCAACCCCTGCAACTCTACAGATAAAATACATCATTATGTCTATATCAATAAATAAACTTCGACTGCATAAAGAAAAAAGCACTTATGACCAGTCTCACAACCATTTCTTCATGATTACAGGTTGGGCTTCGGACCATCAGAAATACCATACATAAGCTGCTCATTTCAGTTTTTAATAGCCTTATTTTTCGGCAGGCAAAATTAACTTCCCATCACCCCTCGTCATTCCCAACTGAAGTGTTTGGGATTTTTGCGGAGAGACTAGGGAAAAAAAATCTTTACTGCTGCAATCTTAAAGCAAGGCTTTTACCAGCAAAACACAGTTTTATTTCTAGATGTGATCCCTGCGTTCATCAAACCAACTGCAGCCTAAACTACTGGGGAGGAAATACAGTTAGAGTACATAGGCAACCTAATGGATAAAATTCCAAAAATTGTCTTGGTAACTATGCCCAAATAGCAGGTGCATTTATTTGAGCTTTCCAGCCTTTATTTTTATCCAAGTAGAAAGGAACACATCTTCACTGCAGACTGGTGCAAAAATAAGACCTACCAACTCTCCACCAAGGATGTTAGGAGCTGGATTTATAATTTCCTTCTGTGTATTTTTAAATTAGTTGCTGTAACTGTTATTTTATTTATAATTTATTATCTTATTTTATCCTTTTTTAGAGTGAATAAACTATCTTTATATCAACAACTCCTTCAGACAATATTAGTTTTGTAAATAAATTTTACAATGTAAATATATTTTAAAAGCTTTTCAGACACTGGAAATTCCACTGTAAGAGCCAACTGGCAGCAAAAGATAACCACCAGCTAATGGACAACACTCATCCAAATCACTGGAGAGTGTACTCTTACAATGTATATAAATAAAGAACTTTAGCAACATGCATAATTAAATTGTTGCATTTATCATCAAACACCATCAGTAATAGAAATACTTTGTATGCTGTGACAACCTTTCAGACTGAAGCCAACCACGAGCCCAAAGCTGCCAAGTGCACCACTAAGCCATGTCCCTAGACAGCAAAACACGAGGAAGAATTTACAAATCCAGAATTATTTTAGGCTGTGAATTTAGGTAGGGCAATCCCTTGAGCTGGATAAGAACTATCCTAACACCCACCTTGTAACCCCATCAGAATGTTGTGCTAATATCAGCAAATTAAAGTGCAACAACTGACAGCAAACCAGTGACAGCAGAAATTTAGGATTAAACCTTCATCTAAATGGAGATATAAACTTCAGAGAGAAAAGATGAAACATCCGGGTATCTCAAAATGCCAAAAGTCTGAAATTAAAACACTTAGGAGCAGCATGGAAAAAGGGTCTCTGTAAAATTCCAGGTGCTTTAGCAATGCATTGAGAAAGTAGTAAAAGAAACAACCAAATATGAAATTAAAAAAGAGATTGGGGAGGAGGGGCAGGGGAGAGAAAAAAGAGCATTTCTTAAATGCAAACGACCTCCTAACCAGCAGAGTTTTCTCTCCACAGGTTGTCTGTCAGGAAGAGCTTTGAATCAGTGCAGAAGCCACAGGTGAGTGACAGTGACGAGGCGCTGGAAAGAAGATGGACCTGCTGCGAGCCCGGCGCCAGGCCAGGAGGAGGTTCCAGCTCTGAAAACAGAGCCAAAAGATGAAGCAAGGTGACCTGCAGGCACCAAAACAGCACGGAGAGAGAAAGGAGCACACCCTCTTTGACTGAACCTGCGTGCTTGCAATTTAAAGAATAATTAAAGATGTCCAGTGTAGGACATGGCTTGTGACACACTGCGTGATCTCTGAAAGATGAGCCTGCGTGTCCTAGCACTGGCCTTGGAATTTAAATATACAAAAAGAGTTTCTCCCCAAAAGGGAAAGATACAGAAGAATTTCAACCTTTGAAGGGACAGGAAGGAGGGAGGAAGAGCAAGAAGATAATTTCTCTTTCAGAGACTATTTAAGGAACTAATTTGTGACATGTGTACACACTTCCTCACCACAGGACAAAACAAAGAAGTGGACATTGTGAAAAATGATTTGCATGAAGCACAAGTCATTGCATCCCAGGCAGGGTCCCCAGCCACCAAGGGCACCCTCTGGACTGCTGTGTGTGTCAGCTGTACATGGAGCCCCTTCTTCCAGCAAGCCATGCACAAGCTCTTCATCTCTTTGGTGTCTTTTCATTCATTATTATGGTAGCAGAGATCTCTTTTGTTTCAAGTTCCAAAATGACTCGTTTTGTTTCATTAGGTGTGAACACCAGATGACCAGAACTGCCTCTCTCTGAGGCCAATCCTTCCCGAATTGAGCACAGTCGCATTTGTAAGTCTGTGCAAGCAGCACTTTCAGTAGGCAGCCACTGTTAAGCAATCTCTTTTAAAAAATACATTCTCAATTATTTTCATAGCAAAAAATGAAATTTTAACCAAAAGGTTTAACAGAAGCATGAAAAAAAACAAAGGAAACAAACTCCCCAGAACTGCATGCTCTTGCCTACAGAAAAATCCGCTCCAGTTGCTGACATTTCTGAAATGCCTTTTTTTCTTGTTTTCTCACTTCATTGCTAATAGGGAAAATGAGCTGATATTTGCTATTTTTACCTTAACCACACTCACACTGTTAGTAAACCATGCTTCATCCTCACCAAGCAGCATGGAACTGCTGTGAACAATAAAGTCTGACTTCGAAATTGTACCTTGAAGTCTCAAACCAACCTGACAACAAGTCCAGAATATTTGCTCTAAATATAAAACACAAAGGCACTCCAGGTTTTATAAAGACACAAGCAACCACCAGAGTTAGACTAAATTAATGAGCCTGTGTATTCCAATTCCGACAGACAGGACAGCACCCGTCTGGCTTCACTTACAAACTTGTTATAACCTCTGCCTTATAAAAAGGTTTTTACACAT